GCAGGCACTCTGTGTATTTGCTGTCTGATGCATAACCAGTGCTCAGTGTGGCTTGGCCTGGAGCGCAAGCTTGGAAAACTTGGCCTTGAGCTCCTGAGATACCAGGGGGAGGAGGGGTTGCCAGAGAAGGGCCGCAGGGGAGGGGCTGCTCTGAGGTGAGCCCAGAGTTCATTCAGCTAAAATTCCCAGCAAGGGGCTGGTCTGTCCCTACCTAGCCTTCCCGTCCTTGTAGGGGAAGCAGCCGCAGAGCCTCAGCCTCCCAGCCAGAGGCTGTCACCAGAGGAGGGCTGTGCACTTGGCCAGGGCTGTGGCCACAGAGCTGGGCTGCTGTCCCTGCCAGGCCCCGAGACCCTCCAGGTTCCTTCACGAGCACCACCTTGTCAGCTAAGCTATCCTGTTTTTGCTCCTCCATGCCCAGCAGAGCCGGGACATGAGGCCCATCCTGCGACCCTCCCCACACTCAGAGACTATGGAGGTAAGAAGGCAGAGGGCAGGCAGCGGCCAGAGGCTGGGCCCTGCTGCTCTAGAGCCCGAGCTTCCCACGCCTTTCTTCTTGGCCTTGCAGATCCCTTTTGAGAAGAACTGCGGGGAGGACAAGAAGTGTGAGGCTGACCTAAAGCTGTCCTTGTCCCCTGCCAGGTCTGGAAGCCCTCAGCAGCCACCCCTCCCCTCCCTCTGGTTCCGCTGGCTGCCAAGGCAGTGCCTATGCCCTCCATGCCCCACTGTGTGTTGGCTAGGAGCAGCTTCCTTCTCTGGGCCTCAGTGTCCTTCTCTGAGAACAGCAGGTCTCTGTGCATTGTCTGGGATGCAAGAGGTCACACAGGGGAAGGCGTCGGCTGAGGAGCTTTTTCTTTCCTGCAGCGCTGGAGAGATTGAGCCTAGCATCTCACATGTGCTCGGCAAGCCCCATGCCACCCAGCTGAGCCCCCAACACTGACGTTTACTTACATGCCAGATCCCCCAGTTCTGACTCCCACCTTAATCCTGCTTCCTTCATTTCGTCCCATAACTGTCCTCTGATCTCCACCCCTCCAGGTCCAGAGTCCTGCATCTGACCCCTTCTTCCAGCCTCGCTGTGGAGTGGACCCTGAGCAACTCGGGAGAAGATGCTTACTCGGTCCAGCTGGACCTGGCCTTCCCCCGAGGACTGTCCTTCCGCAAAGTGGAGATGCTGAAGGTGAGCCTGGAATAGCCCCTGTGCGCTGCGAGGCCCCTGCCACCTTCCGGAGACTCAGGCAGGCAGAGCAGCCTTAAGGGTTCCTAGCCCAGGCTCACCTCACCTTCTCGGAGCCTCAGAACCCACAAACAAAACGTGAGGCCGTGGACAACCACAAGTTTAATGAGAGGGTTGCAGGAAAAGGGGCGTGGGAAAGCAGCACATGGTGGTGCGTACCTGTAACCGCAGTGCTCAGAAGGCCGAGGCAGGAGGATTGGTATGAATTCCAGCTACTCTGGGCAATACAGTGAGTTCAATCCCAGCCTGAACTACATAGTAAGACCCTGTCTCAAACAAACAAGGAAATATTTCTTGTAAAATAAGGGCCAGGGAGATGGCTCAGTGGAATAAGTGCTTTCCTGGCAAGCACAAAGGCCTGAGTTCAATCCCTGGTTCTGGGGGGAAAAAAATTTAAAAAAATA